GTTTCTTTTAATTCACCATCTAGAATTACGAAATTAGAAAGCACCGGAATATCGTGCACTTACCACACACCGAAGGCACAGATTCATCTCCCAGAATGGCTTCTTGCACCATTCCAAGTACAAGGATCTGTAATAACCAAAAAATAGTTTTTTATTTACTATAATTTGCCCTCAATTGGCACTAATAACTGTATATTGAAAGTAACGTACCATGAGAAACGTCCATAAAAACTTGAGGTGACACCTCACACGGGTGAAAAAGATCTGAAAATGGAGACAAACTTGAAATCTATCCCATCTTCAATAAATTCAACAAAGTAATAATTGAGATTCTTAAAGATTATAGCAAATATTTACCTTTCACAAGGCTAGAATAAGCATCTGCTGCACTTGCTGTAGCAGCATGTTCAACAGCACTAGAACCTGTATTAATCAACAACAAATTATTGCCAATACATTATGCTTTCAATAGCGTGCTACTTTTTGCATTTTACAAACATACAAGAGACTTACCATTTTCAGTTTGAAAAGCTGCCTGTGTACAAGAATCTGAAAATTAAAAAATGCTGGTATCATAGCCTCCCATCAAACTATATATTCTAGTAATATTCTATTTAAAAAATCTTACCAATTACACCCATAGTGGGTGTCACCTCGCTTGGTCCAAACAAGGGATATGCAACTGAACATGAACATTAAAAAAATTCCACTATTTGTTACGCACCCATCATCTTCTCGAAGCCAAAATGCACGCTTCAGACTTCAAACAGCAGTAAATCACTTCATTTCTCTAATTCACTGACTGCGATATGGCGTTAACAGCCCTACGAACAGCACGTGAATATACAACCATAGGTCGACGAGGAAGGAATCCAACGGTAACCAACCGGCTCGTTTGCGAAAAAATTTCAAAATGAAAAAATAGTTCACCGATTCTCCGCTTGAGCTTGAGTTGCTGTTGTACAGATGTATATGGCGTCGCTCTGAACTCTGATTGGCTACTGTATGGAATTTGAATAAGGACCGGATGTGCCCTATCTAGTGTCACCCCACTGGGCTTGATTTACTAACTAAACAGCCTCCTAATAACACATTTAGTTGTTACTATGACGACAAAATTCTTCATAAATCCTTCATAAATTGCTTCAAATACTTCATAAATTGATGAATTGTAAAATCGTTAAGACTTCGTTGGCATGGATTTGCGTGTTTTAATTCAAGTTATCTTTTAATAGTTTTGTGTGTCTACCGAGAT